GTTTCCAGTTAGAAGGTCCATCTGACGATGGAGCTGTCTGCCCATGGATTTGTATAAAATCCTTTGCTTGGGAGGTTAAACTAGAATGGTTAAAAAATTAGATAATGAAGGGTAGATAAATAAAACCATGAGCGGTGTAGGCAAGCTAGCCCAGTGGCTCACTCCATTTGCTCACTGATAATTCTGTGTGTGTTTGATGAATAACGACCCACAGCACATCACCTGCTCATCTTAGCTAGGTGCTCTTCTTAAACAGCTGGGGTTTGATGTGACAGCCCAGAGGATAAATTGCGGCCTCAGGAAATGCTTTGCCTTTGACTGATTGCTGAATGGCTGGCAAATTAATTCTGGCACCTTTCCCTAAGTCATTTTGGTCCCATTCCTTCATTTTTTCTGCTGGGAAGTGTGTCTTCACATTACAGTTAAAAATACATTGACAACACAAATGTGGGTAATAGCATGTCCTATTTTCAGAAAGAAGTTGTAGGCTGCGGTGGTTCCATTTTATATAGTAGCAATGATGCTTTTATGCGTTGAGAGAAGCCTGAACTCACCTTCCAGATGAACTCAAAATCACTTGTACTTATTGCTGACCCCTCATAGTCATGGGCTTCAGAGTTTGAGCTTTGGGCTACTTGATGAGATTCTAGTCTAGTTTCATCATCTGTAAAACGGGAATCACAATGACAGTAACTCTTTACTCTCTCTCCCGATTTCTTTCTTCATTGTCACTTTCTTAGCATTAAACACAAGGTTTTGAAATTCAACTTATTTCACACTAAGTAGTCCTATCCTAAGAATGCATTGACAAGGCAAGAGGGATGACCGCTTTTGGTTTTGCTCTTCAAGGTAAACCAAAGATACCATGCTTGAGACTTAGGGAGATGGACATTCATCTCATGTAACAATGTAAGTGCCTATGCAGGTTATGAAGATTCAAGTTCTGTTTCTCTGGTTTGGAGTGCTCTACCATGTCATAGGGCTGGTTTTCTTTCCTGACTCTGCTGATGTGATTGACCTGTTTCTATCCTTGTTCTCACACAACTTGTCATCTTTAACCTTAAGGACCAAAAGATCTTAGTATTAATTACAATTACTAATTGTTCTGCTCTGGATTTTAATTATTTTCAGTTGTCATAAAATATACAACATATAAAATTAAGCATTTTAATCTTTCCTAAGGATATAGTCTGTCACCATTAAGTACATTCACATAGTTATGTGAACACTAATACCGTCCATCTCTAGAACTTATTTTATCTTGCAAAGTCAACACTCTGTACCAGTTACACAATGACTCTTCCTTCCCCCTTCCCCCTTCCCCCAATGTCACCAACCACCTTTCTACTTTCTGCTTCTACCACTCCAGGCATGTACCTCAAATAATCAGAATCATGAAATATTTATCTATTCATGATTGTGTTATTTCACTTAGCATAATGCTTTCAGGGTTTATCCATGTTGTAGCATGTGTCAGAATTTCCTTCTGTTTGAAAGATGAATAATATTCTATTGAATTATATGTACTGCATTTTTTGCTATCAGTTCATCCTTTTATGGACACTTAGGTGGCTTCAAACTTTTATCTGTTACAAATGATGCTGTGAGCACAGGCATACAAATAGCTCTTTAAGGCACTGCCTTCATTTCTTTAGTTATATACCTAGGAGTGAAATTGTTGATCATAAGGAAATTCTATTTTTAATTTTTTGAGGAACCACCATACTGTTGCCCATAGCAGATGCATGTCTTTTGAAAAGATGTTAGTGTGTTTCAATTAGCAGTTTTACACCTTGTATGTGTTTGTGGAATGCCTTCATCAGAAACCTCAAAAACATATTGACTGTACAGATGGAAGTGGAGGTAAAGATGTGGAAATCTTAGTGTTATGATAATGGATTTAAACCCTCAGCATTCACACAACTGATTGGATGTTGCTATACCTAGCCTTGTGGGCAACATCTGAGAATCTACATATGGATGTAGAAGACATTTTGCTTTACAGAATGTTCTGTACATTTTCCCAGTTATTTGAATTTCATCCCTCAAGCCTTTCAGATCAGCCACAAAGGCAAAATTGTAGGAAAAAAGATGTGGAGAGTCAACAAAAGTCAGATATCTACTCAGATAGTCTGACATATCTTAGCTATATATATGCACTTACATATGTATAGTACTTTTCTCAGCAAAGGAAAAATATGAGAAAATAAATACCAACTTAAAATCAGAAACACAAGTCCTACAAGACAGAATATGCTCAGAAAGGTGCCAGTGGCTCATGCTGTAATCTTAGCTACTTAAGAGACTGAAATCAGGAAGGTTGTGGTTTAAGGCCAGCCCGGGAAAACAGTTTTTGAGACCCTGTCTCAATAGAAAAAGCTGGATGTGGTGGTATATACCTGTCATCTTAACTGTAGAGGAAGTATAAAATAGGAGGCTTGAGGTCCAGGCTGCCCTGAGCAAAAAGTGAGACCTTATTTCCAAGACAACCAGAGCAAAAAGAGCTAGAGGCATGGCTTATGTGGTAGAGCCCAGTTCAAACCCCAATACTGCCAACACATTATGGTGAATAAATATTTTCTGAATGAATGTATCAATGAAACTATTTTCTGTTAAGTTAAAACAAACTGTTATCCTATAAAGAATTCTGTTTCTGTTTATTTAAAAATTTGTCAATTAACTTACAATAAAATTTGATCTGAACAGTAGCTATTAAGACAGAGGCAATAAAATACTGGCCATATTCAACAGAACTATAGTAATACCGCCAATAATCAATAATTAATAATTATATTTTCATTATTTTAAGAAAATTACTTGTAATATTTATTTAACACATAAACAACACATTATAAAAGAAATGTGTCTGTTAGAGCAATAAGCTGAATTCTTATAATTTAGGAATACTATTTCCCCACAAAGCTCTGCTTTTTAGCAACAGTTCACACAGTATCCTATTTACCAACAAAACAAATTATGATAATATTGCTCCCCAAAATATTCTCTATTGTAAAATTTCTACTAATGCACACTAAACTTTCTTCAAATTAGTTATTATTAATGAATATCTTACTTGAAGAAAATTGTTAAGGTCTTAGATTTGGAAAAATTTAAAAGGTCATGCTTAGCTAACCCACACTGCAGTTAACTTTTAAAATCCTACCATTTAGTCACAGAAATGGTTGAGTGACTATTTTTTAAAGACCCCACTCTAGGGAAGACGGTTTGCAGTTACCAGCCCCTGCCCAGCAGCATTACACAGCTCATGTCTACCGTGTAGGTGTAGCTGTGAGAAGCAGCTCAGTCTCGTGAGGTTAACCTACCTGATACAATCACCCAGCCGAGTACAGGAGATTAGACAAATAGCATGGCAGCAGGCAGCATTCAGTTTATTTCTGCATTTAAAAACAAAATTCTGGCTTTTGTATACCACAGTGTCACCAAGTAGATGACTGCTGTGACCTTTCCTGTGCTTTCCATGTTTCCTTCAAATCCAAATGTCGCACCTCTCCCAGATAATTGACCAACCAGCCATAGGCAAGATGCTTTTTAACACAAGAACGGAACAAACAATTGTAAGAAGCAGGGTGTGGTGGTGCACACCTGTAATCCTAGCACTTGGGAGGCTGAGGCAGGAAGATCAAGACTCTAAGGCCGGTCTGGGCAATATAATGAGTTCTAGTCCAGATTGGGCTATATAGAGAGGCTCTGTTTCAAAAACAAAATAAAGCAAGAAAGGAAGGAAGGAAGAAAAGGAAAGAAGGAGGGAGGAGGAAGGAAGGAAGGGAGGGAGGGAGGAAGGGAGGAAGGGAGGAAGGAAAAAAAGAAACTAAAATCATAAGGAGTCACTTCCTGAGGCCAGACAGCTTCCTGTCATCTTCCCAGGAAGCAAAGGCTGGGAGGCTGCAGTTCAGAGACACCCAAGGACACACAGCCTGCATTCCTTCAAGATAGCCTTGAGGTCCCTCAGCCCCCAGAGTGACCGAGCATTCTGTGGTAACTCACTACATAGTTTTCTTTGTTTTCTCATTTTTACTAGATAGTTTTCAAAGATTGAGTCTAGTGTAAAATCCTTCCAGAAATGCCTAGCATGAAGAGGATTGTTGGGAAAATCAGTTTAACTGGTATATACAGTTAGAAAAAAAATACTCATGTCGGTGAAATTTGTGACAAGACCTCTCTGGAACTACATTCTCCTTATCCTGATATGCCAGGGGGTCTAAACACTCTCTTTTCTCTAAGTAAAATTGCACTGTTTCCTTGTAATGTACACATGCTCATTGTAAAAGCCTTCAGATAATAGAGAAATCTGTAGCAAAACAGTATTATTCTCTCACTCGGAAATAATTGTTAGTGTTCTGGTATAAACTTACTAATTTTTTGCTGGTTTCAGAAACAGGCAGTAACTAGAGTGTTTTTAAAAAATAGGATGAGACTATACCATTATTTTTTAATGTACCTTTTTATACAATTTCTGTGAACTGATAAACAAATATATGTATATTCATCATAATTTTACATCCGTTCTCAGTATTCCATTTTATAGGTGTGCCATCTGTGATTATTTCTAATTTCTCATGAATAAGAAGGATAGTCTTATACATATATTCATGTATTTATATGCTTGTTTCTTTCTTATGAGTACTTAAAATAGGATTACTGTATAAATTTGTTCACAAACTTTGAAAACAATTGTGAAATTGCTCTCCAAAAAGTTGTATCGATTGATGTGTCCACCATTATTGTGGGTAATTGCCCATGTATCTACAACCTTAGAAATCATACAGCTTAAAAAAGAGCACACACCTGTTTATAGGGGAGGCACCTCAAGCTTATGAGCTCAGGGTCACTGAAAGACTTATATGGGTGCATCTGTGTGTTTCTGGCTGCTGAGAGGTCATCAGCCAGGAAGGACATTGTCTAACCAGTGAATCCATTTGTTTGCCAGATCTGTAACTCAAGTTCCCCTCTTATCATCTTCCTGTGTTATTCTCCCTTAGATTGAGGAAGACACGTGGCAGAAATACTATTTGGAAGGAGTCTCCAATGAAATGTACACAGAATATCTCTCCAGTGCCTTCGTGGGTCTGTCTTTCCCTACTGTTTGTGAGTAAGTGACTGTTAACTGGATGCTCCTTAGATTTCAGGGATATTTAATGTGCCCCCTTGCAGAAAGCCACACACCCCTGCCAGGCATGGCACTTGATAATCACTGGGGGTGTCCTGTGTGCTTAGCCCTGTGTATTGATGAACAAAAAAGGGGGTCATGACATGGTCTTACCTTGAGGGTTGCTGCTAGCCACAATTTTTCTTCCAGGCCTGAGAATCTTGAGTTTGGATTTCTCATTTGTACTAACTTAAGAATTGTAATTAGCATGCATATCTTGAATTATGCTCCTATGACATAGACACATGTATGAACCCATGTCTCTCTACTTTTATTTTAGCTCATTCTTTGTTTTTGGGACTGAACCCAGGGCCTAGTACCTGCTAAGTATGCACTCTACCCTTGAGCTACACCCTCAGCCTCTCTCTGATTTTAACAGGACAAACCCCAAATCTTGCCAGCCCCTGGATAAAGGAATTTTAATTGCTTCCTTATCAAGCCAGATTATGAAGACATTGGTGAAGCTACTGACTTAAAGACATTGATAGTGTTTCTACCATTTACTGAGGAAATCTGTAACTAAGTGTTCAGAAGGAGGCCTTGGAAAAGGCCTCTGTCATGTAGCCCTCACATCACCATCACCAGCTGCTGTGTTACAGTAATGCCAAAGCTTAGCTTCTTGTACTGGCTCACAGGATAGATCAGAGCATGGTCAGCTGCAGCCTGCCATGCCACAGCCTTGGGCGGAACAGGTAGTCACCTATGGAATGACCTGGCTCCAGGAGCTCCAGGTGTGTACCATGAGGCCTGACCCTCAGATTCTTCACTTAGAATCTCAGGAGTTGAGTTTAAGTTGGACAAGGACTGGTTTCCTGCGGAAATACAAACTCCCTGAGAATGGTGGAACCTTGAGGCTGACCCACTGATAACTTAGCAAAAGGTTTGATAAATCGTCTCTCTTATAAAAACTGGGAACAAACAGGGGGATCTGAGAACCCATTGGGCTGAGGGGGAAAAGAAACCCATTTCCTTAGGCTCTCTACTGACTAACCAAGCCATCTTCAGAATGGGATAGCTGAAGGTTCGGAGTCAATATTAAACACCCTTTACAATAAGGGAAAGGTGGAATCTCTGGGCTCCTCTGTGTCATCCTGTCTTGTTCAGTAGGCCGCAGAGAGGGGACAGATGCTTGGTCACTTCTGTTTACCTGGATACTCCTGTTAGTGAACACAGCAGGCGCTCTTCCAGTCCCTGGGCCCAGATCCTAAGCACTCCAAAATAGTTTGGCTGTTTACTGAAATTTCTTACCCTGTCCCTAAGTGAAAGTTTAAATGCTAAATGGACTGGAAAAGTGAATAGGTAATTGATTCGGAAGGAGTTATTTTCTGAAAATGGATGCGCTATTGTAACTCCTGTGTGTTCCTTTCTTGGAGAGCAATTTCTGTTTTGCTATGGGAAGAAGTTAACCTTTCAGAGGCAATAGGGCCTGGAATACCAAGGCTGTCCCAGGGTTCTGTCTCCTCCTTGAAGCTCAAACTGCCTTGGATGGAAAGTCCAGAGAAGTCAGGACTTACAACAGAAACTCGTGCTTTAAAAACACTATGGAAGCCTCAAATGTCTAATGTGGAAAAGGCCTGAGCAACACGGCAGAGCTGCCAACACTTGGGGGTATTAGCAGGGAAGCCAGGAAGCCCCTTCCTTGGCCATTGGGTTTCCTTGACTTGACCAACACGCACATAAGTGGCTATTCCCTCCAGAGCTCCGTTTTGCCACCACCCTCTTCTTCCATCCCTGGAAACTGAGTCAGTTCATCTTAAGGGGGAGGCGGCAGGACTGCTGTCACTAAGAGGCTATAACTGGGATAGCCACAGGGTGCATTGGACTTCTGTAGTTGCCTTATGGTGTTTGATTTCTTCTTTTTCTTCTTCTTCTTCTTCTTTTTTTTGCTGTTTAATTTCTTAAAGGTTAGTTTCCAACATTTCAAAATAATGGTATTTCACATAAAAACTAGCTTTCTAGCCTCTCTTGAAAGTCTGAGGTGGCACATAGGACCTACATTTCTACCAAATGCTAATTGCCTCCTATTCGCTATGGCCAAGGGACTGTCTAGCCTTGCCCCACCCTGGTATCTTAAATAAGGCGGATTTGCATTAACATCCTGGGCCTGGTGGTATGGACAGATGATTTTGCCTCCCTGGACCCTGTGAGTGGGGTGATGCTTGACTGGCCTCCGCGCCAACTCACCGGCCTGGTACTAGAAAACATAGTGACTGTTCCAATACTTCCCTTGATTGATTCTCCTATTTAGAATATGTCTCAAGGAGAAGATCCCTCAGACCTACCTTGTTGCCAGAGAATTTAGTATTCGTTTAGTAAAACTTCTGGAATACAAAAAAAAGAAAGAAAAGAAAAGCCGATTTCTGATGTGAATGAGACTGTGTTCAACTTAGTGCTATTATTCGTTTAATGCAATGATTCGGCAGAGGTGGAACTAATCAATAAAGAAAGGACATTTAATGAGATTTAGGAACATCCCAAAACATTGAAGCTCTCCTCAAGCATTTGATTATCTGGAGGCTTAATTATCTGTGTTTTCTACTTTAAATTAAAGAAAAGCCATAACTCAAAGTTACCAGCAGTTTAATGATAACACTCTTCAATTCAGGTTAATTAAAGCACAGCTGTAATTAGAGTGTAGTGTTGTATATCACCGGGCTGGCACATAAGTATTTTCATTACAGTAAGAATTGGCTATTCAATTTCAAGATGACATAAAGGATGCCAAAATATATTTTAAGCTGGTTCATGGAGAAGAAAACGAATTGGGGGATATTCTGGGTATAATAAAGCATAGATAAAATATACAGATTTTCAGAGCAGTTTCTGTAATTATGCACTGCTCTAAAACAATATGCAGCCAATAATGTCTTAAAGCATGAAAAGAAATAAATTTGCTCTTCCCCTGAGCTGGCAGAGTGCCACCCTGCAGGGTGGGATCACTGTGTGGGAGAGCTTGGGGTTTTCTCAAAGGCTGGGAGAGTCATTCTATGAAAAGATAAGGGGGCAGATGTGTAGGTGAAATTCAAGGTCATCTCCCAAGAGAATAGGAAGGAGCTTGAGAGAGAGGAGGGGCAGATGCCCTCAAAGCTAGCTTCTTAAAAATTTCAAGCCAAGAGATAATCCCTCATGTCCAGAGTGAGACTCACCCGAACTGTATACTTTTGACTTCTCTGTTTCAGCTTTTTGGCCGCACTGTGTGTATGATTAAAAGATGTGTCTTTCTTCCAAAACCAGAAATTAATTTGGATGAAATGCAAAATCTTACATGATCTTTCACCTACATTTTCTCATTTATCCCTGTAACAGTCCTCTCATGTTTCCATTAATGTAGCTATCCCCATTTTATAAGCAAGGGTACTGAGGCTCAGAGGACCTAGGTGCCCCTTCCAAAGCCACTTGGAAAACAAGTTACAGAACCAGGATTCCAAGGCTGGGGTCTCATGCATTGGAAGTCACTTGGAGTAGGTGCTAGTTGAAGTCTGGTTCTCGAAGACTCTTTGGGGGAGCTTATTAAATGGAGTAGCAGGCAGGCTTCATCTCCAGAGGTTAATATCTGGATTAAGGTCTGAAAATTTTTGTAAGCAAGCCATGTGATTCTGATGCAAAGTCTAGAACTGGAAACTCCTGTCTCATCTCAGTCCTCCATAGCACACTCTGGAGTAATGTCCTCTTGTTCCCTGCTGTGGGCCCAGTTATTGAATGTTTCAGGTAAGCTTAGAATCAGAGGTCGGCCACATTTTGAAACCTCACACTACCATTGACCTTTGTCAATGACCTTTGCCCCCCCATTCCTTCGTCACCTGGGGGCATTCTGCAATCTCTAGAGACAGGGGAGTGAGTCTGCACTCTGCCATGCCATTCTAACCCTGGACCACTATTTCCACACCTCATGCGTAACCTTACCCAGTGCAGAGAAAAAAGATGGAGTGCCAAGCCCTTTAATGCCTAGAGTCAAGTCTCCACTTGGATAAGTAAAGCAGCTTCTGATAAGGCCAGAGGAAGCAGGACAGTTCAGATGACCCCAAATTTGGAGATCCTGGTGATCAGAGTCTTTACCTTCCCAGCATGCCCTAAGAATGTCCTTTTTTCTTAAAAAGAACCAGTAGCTCCTGAACATGTCTACTTGGTTTTGCCTAGCTGGCTTGACCCTGTGGTCTGTGTGGCAAGGGAGCTTTGAGATCTGAAAGAGAGAGTGCCACCCATTGGTATCTGACACAGCAGCTACCTGCTCCCTTTCTCTTGTGCCCCCCACCTTCCTCAGCAGGCAACTGTGAAGGCGCAGATGGCCAGCACCCAGTCTGCAGGAAGGAGGGCAGGGCTAGGATGCCATGCTTGTTTCTAAAAGCTCCTGTTTTTTGAGCAGTTCCCACAACAAGTCACTATATGATGCACACAGTGTGAATCACAAAGGACTGGGGTCAAGTCCCCACATCAGCCACTTGCTGGATATGTGATTTGGAGCAAGGTACTTGTTTCCTGTGCACCTCTTTCCTCAGACAGCAGCAGCTACCTGACCTTGGACTTGGTGCATGCCCCCAGTTTCCTCATCTGTGAAATAGGAATGGCAGCATGTATCTCTCAGTACTAACTGATGTCCTTTCCCCCTCTCCTTTTTTCCTTCCTGCTCTATCCCCATAAAATAGAAGCACTTAGAAAGAAAGAAATACATTGTGGCGTTTCCAATTTCTCTTCACTTTTAGTGTTTAGTAAATTGTCCTGTCAATCAGTCACCAGTCAATGGGCCAGAGACTTAATGCATATGGGATATTGTCACCATTGTGTGGAACCTGGTAAAACTTCTAGAGAAACTTACAATTATATTTGATCAAATTTATGCACACGAAAAGATTAATAGCAATGATTACAAATGTCAAATAAAGGATTTGGTTTCCATTTAGTGCTGCCTTCAGAGTTTGAAGTCTGACTGAGGGAAATTATACCCA